ATTCCAATTAAAATAAGACAAATAGGATTGTTCTGTGAATGGGACACCTGCACTCAGGGTAGCCATGGTGAAGCATGTTCAGGTGGAGTAATTTAACTGGTTACATCATCATGGAAGAGCTTTCATAGCTGGGATGAGAAACTCGTGCAAACTCGTACTTCATAAAGTCTGGAACAGTGCTGGCAACACTTAATTATTTAAAGTCACCCTTCCACATGAATTTAAATATGAAGAGATGATTGTGCTTTCTGTAGAAAAAACACCTCTGTCCTCTAAAGTGCTTTGCAGAAATTCTGAGTCACAATAACCTTCTTGTCCAGAGTCCCACAAGGGATCAGTACCATAGATGGGAATAAAGAATCCCAGAATCCCAACTGTAACACCTCCTTCAGTGACTCAGCACAGCGCTTCCTTCCAGGGAGTCCTAACACATTATTCTACCACTACAAAATTGCACTGAACTAAGAAAAAACATGAAGAATAAAAATAAATCATGGAAAATAGAAAGGAAAAAAATTGAACAAAGATGGCTTTGTAATCCTCAGAAGAAGAAACTCAGTAGTTTGATGACCAATGGACTCCTATGCTACTACTGCAAAATTAACAAGGGTTTAACACAAAGTCAAGTTTAACAAGTTTCTGTGTATCAGCAAAAGCACGATAAACAATTCCACAGGCTTGCTTAGCAAGTGCAAGACAATGTGGCTTAGTACATTTCCTTTTCCTATGGAAAGTGTCTAAACCTACACTTTTACTACAGAAAGAGACAAGCTGTTTTTGAGAATCTTGTTAAGTTGTGGTAGCTTGACTTTGTCAAGTTCCCTAACTCTGCTAAAGCTAATGGGATAAGGGGAGGTGAAAAAGGATTTCCATGCTAAGCAGTGTTTTAACAGACTTGAAAGTGACAGTGACAACTGTGTAAAAAGCTTTTTCACCACTTGATGAGACCACCATGATTTCAGCTTCTATAGCCTGGTACTTCTCCACCTCTTCTCATCTCCACATGTAATTGCCACTCTTGATTCACCTGCCTTTCCAGCCTACTTGGTACTTGCTATATAAAACCATTGCAGTGAATGATGAGCAGACATAAGACATAGTTATTAATATAACTATGCAAGATGTAGACATCCAAGGGCTGGAATCTAAAGGCCCCGAAGTATTCCTAGCCACAGAGCTCCTGAAGTATGTTGCTTCTCGGCAAAAACCCTTTGTGCTTTAGGAGACTTGCCCCTGGGGATGGGGCTCAGCTGGGAATTTGGGAAGGTGAGGCAGTTTGAAGCCAGGGCTCCTGCCCACAACACCTTATGTAGTTGTAACACAAATGGGATGTACCCAAGCCTTCATTGAGTTCACTCTGACCTTCAGTGGAGATACAGGCACTCTGTCTATTTTGTCTGTATACCTACAGGCAAAGTCTACTTTAATACTTTTTAAGCCAAATTTAGATTTTTCACCAGCTTTCCTAAATTAGGACTTTAAGGATCTGCCCCAAGGCTTTTTGAATTAGGGTTTTTAGTTTATCATCAAATTCAGTTAAAACGTGCTGTAACCCACTAACCTGACTCGGTCACAGCTAGTGTACGATAGTGATATCTACATTTATTAAACACATGCTCCCTCTGGAGCTGGAGATGATACAGTCAGTAACAGCTGTTTTATTCAGGTTGCTCTTTAAGTCATGAGGAAACACACACAACCTTGTCTCTGGTATGATTCCCAGTGTTCATACCCACTCATGCAATTAAGATATACAAAGATAAACAACTGATAAGTTCTCCATAACTTCTACAATCTATTCTCCCTACCATTCTCTCTCCCTGTTCTTGCCATCATTATTGCGAGTAAACTAGCACTGAAATCTGACTCAGCAAAGCAAAATTAAGTTTTATGCAAAAACAAATGAGGTAAGTTGTACTGGGCATAGCATCCTCCCAGAAAAGATACTGGGACTAAACATAAGAAATCAGTAGGCCTGTAATGAAGACAGTGAAACAATGCAAATGCCGGGACACCAGGGTTTGCTCTGACTTTAATGTCAGCTTGGCCTCTCACTAGTATAAAATTATTATTTCTCTGTGGATCATTAATCCTTTTTGTCTACAAGAGATAATAACACTTGTGGATGACAAGCCAATGTGTCATTTGAGAAACAAGAACATAAATCCCCATCATGAGCTGCAATATGCTTTTAACCACAACTTGTGGGTAGGAGCACAGTGACACAAAACACCCCAAAAACACTGGGACAAGCACAGAGCATCTCTGGAAGCGGAGAAAATTCACAGAGCAGCCTACAATTTTAAGGAGGATCTCTCTTATTGGAAGACACCATTCTTTTGCCTGCTAAATGCAAAAAGGGACTTAACTCTGCTCAACTCTCAACATCCAAAGCCCTTTTTAAACTCTGAAACCATCCCATGACTTGAATGTGCTGGTGAGCTCCAAGCATGTGATCAGTACCAGCTCTGCTGGTGCCTGAGACGGGTGAGCTGGGCCTGCAGACAAGGCATCCTTAGGCTTTGTTCTGCTCCCCTTCTTCTGAACACATCCCAACTCCAATCATCTCCTAAGCACCTTGCAATGCTTCTGCCTTTTTTCCCAAGGCATTTGAAAACAGGAGGGGAAAGGTGGCAGCAAACTGCATGAAGACCCTTGTGGCCGATGGTTTGAGACTAGCTGAGTCTTCAGAGGACTTTAGGTGATGTTCAGGACACCAACATTCTGTGACTGCACATGCATTTTACAGAGACAGAAATGCAACCACTCTGCAATGAATGGATCTTATTATGCACAAAGTCAACAAACTTGCTAAAGGGCTTTGGCAAGTCAGTTCCTTCGTGTTTGGATTGCAGTGCTGGCTGCATGGGGTGCCTTTGTCCATTCCAGCCCTGTTTACCAACAGAGGCACAGTCACAATATAGCCCTGGCACCATCCTGGATAAATACACTGATGTGTATTTTTGTGTTCCAACAGTTTCTGTAGCAGCACTTACAAGTGAGAGCTATGAAAGCAAGTAAACACAAATATTAAAAAAGCCATTTGCTTTCTCACCATGCATGTTTACTGTTTGCAGTTCAGGCACCTCTGGCAAGTGAGAGAGATCATTTCATCTCAGTTCCTTCCTCTAGCATACCCACCTGATGTATTTCTGTTAGGGGATCATGACACTGCAGTGTAATGTTTGCTGTTATTGTAAACTGACACTTTACTTTTGAAAAGCTGCAAACCATTTGTTCATAAAACACACTGCAGTTCCCACTCATCTATTTGGTAGTTTGCTTGTTTTTTTTTCAGATCTAAAACAATTTCATATATTGCTTCAAATTAAACATCCATATCTTATATGACATTTTCTTTGTCAACAAGTTAACACAAATATATTTTCCATGCATATTTATTATATGCCCACAGCAGTCAGTATTCAAATCCACTCCCCTAGTCTTTCTGACAAACTAGTAATCCTCATTGCCATAAAAGCACACCCTTTTCCTGCCATGAAACTATTCCTTAGAATAAACTTTTGCCTTTAGAGTCTCATTTTTCATTTATTTCATTAGCTTCCATCTCAGATAACTAGATTCTTTTTTTATTACAGCTGGGAATTTTTATAATGTGCAAATTGAAATAATGGTTGTAGTACAGTACTCTGCAAGTGCTTTTCATTAAGCCTCCAGCAACTATTCCTTGCTCTGTTGGATATCTCTGTGTCAGGGTTACTTTATGGTGGACAGAAATCTGGACAATTTAGGTTTAAAGAATGACAAAAAAACCTATTGGATAACAACCTCAAACATGCACTGGTTCATGTAGCTTAATTGCATATTCTTATCATAATCAAAATACTTAAAGCTTAATAATCATGCTAAAAAGTGGACCTGTCCATAGTATATATATTCCACAGTTACATATATATTCCATAGTTTCATGATTCTGAAAGTCAAAATCACTACTTGTCATTACAATTCTGTTTAAGCAGACACACAGTGCCAGAAACACATCTACATTTCTGAGATGCTACGTTGTAGCAAAACGTTTTGCTCTCTTATCAACAGAATGACTAAACTCATACTCTGTATTCAAGCATGATTTTCTGGTTAGTATTAGTCTCTTAAAATAGCTCAGAAGCATTTGTGTGGCCTTTTGAAATTTACAGCACTGTTGATCACCAGTCTCATCTTGCTACTTTGTCATTCTGTATTGCTTATTGGTAAATGAGTTTGCTAGCATATCTTCCCACTGCTTCCAGGGTCACAGAAGCCTGAATGAACACTGAGAGAATCCACTTAATTGCAAGGATTTATGACTATGCTGTTTTCTTTTCTCCCTTTCCACTCAAACTTGTCTTCCATGTCTGACATCCATAGAAAAGGGAAAGCTGCTTATTCTAGTCCAAAACAGCAGCAGACAAGGATCACAGTTTTTCAGGGATTTCTTGTTTCTATTGCTAGTGCATAGGCAACAGAGAAACTGATTTTTAATCCACCCAAGGACAGAGTACTGAACCACAGAAAATCCAGTGCCAATATAGTATCAGCCACGATCAGTCTGCAATAAAATAATGAGCTACACAACTGGCAAAAACTCCCACAAGCTGTGTAACTTACAGAAGTAACAAGCTGCTTGTTTGGATTTAAGATACCATGCTTTCTAAGGTGAAACACAGGCGCACCATTATCTAATAAACAGATTTTTAAGTTCTGGAAACTCAGAACCAGAAAGTTACTATTTGAAAATCTGTCTCTGCCTACACAAAGAGTCTGCTGTGTGAACCAAGTATAATTTGTGTGTCAAACCAAAGCCTGTCTCTTTGTCTTATTTATGGCTCTGCTACAAGTTTGGCTAGCAGAGGAATCAATCAAATCCAACCAACCAGTAAAATGATTTTGGGAACTGTGGAGATTTAAAAACAAAAAACCCAACAAACCCCAAACTGTTTCAGCTTTTCTGATTGAGCATGGTTATTCTAAACAGCACATTTTACCCACTGAAAACTTACCAATGGAGCGATGAATGCAGGTGTGCTGGTTATCACTCAGAAAAAAGCCCTCCTTGCACTGACATTCGTAGCTGCCCATAGTATTCACACAAATCTGCTGGCACCCTCCATTGTTATCCAGACATTCATCAACATCTACAAGACAGAAGGAAAAAGAAATTCAGGGTAATGCACAGATTCAGAATACAAATCTAGAAGAGTGAGGAACACACAAAAAGGCACACTGTAAATTAGGCTAATGAAGATTACCCAAATTAGTTAATCCAAATTAATCCCTCTAATTATTTTTCCTGTATCCTAGGGTTGAAGTTGACATGAAAAAAAACCAAAACAAAACCCCAAACAGTGGGGAGAGGAATCTCCCTAAGTCTTCATGTATTCTGAGCTGCAAATTGATTTCCAGTGCACAATGAACATGAATAACCTAAAAAGGCTGTGACCCCATCTGCCAAGTGCGCTGTTGCACTCTGTCATTCCCACTCCACTTGGAAAGACATACTTCAGGTCTACAGTAACTTCTAGTAGGGATAGCAGGCAAACACAAAGGGCATTACCGGGTGAAAAGAGTCTTTATAGAGTTCTGGTCTTGAACAGAACAGCATGTTTCAATTACTGGAGCCATAACCCCCTACTTTGTCAGTTTGTTTAATGTTGTTTAGTGAAAAGAAGGCTTCTTAAATCTAGATGTTCCATGTCTGTATTGTCATTTTAATAAGCAAATATATAAAACCACAAAGGCAGCATTAGCTACTGGCTGTTTTGAGGGCCTATGCTCCATCACTTCTCTTTGGCGTAACTGTTTTTAGGCTGTAGTGTTTAACAGACACCTACGTATCAGCACTGCCACTATTAGGTATCTGACCCACATTCAACTTTGCAATTTCCCTGTTTTGCTCATGAAAATATGTATTTTTTGCTTTTTTCTTGCCACCTGAAAATTCCATGCTTTCCTTTTTTATGAAGACCAGTTCAGATATTTCAGCCAGTTAAGATATTTCACAGTATGTGCCAACATGTTGGCAATGGAGTTGGTGTGTGTTTTGCTTTCATTTTATTTTTGGAAAGGGCAAAAAAACCACAACAAAGCTAAATTATCCACAACACTCCAAACCTCAGAAAAGCTGGCATAGCTCCTGCAGAAATTAATTCCACCAGGAGTGGCCACAACACAGTAAGGTAAACCCAAGCTGCTCTTGATGGTACTGTTGCAAGCAAAGCCAACTCCAGGCAGCTCTGAATGCAGGGCTGGCCATGAGCTCCAGCAGCTTGCTCAGCTATTGCAGTTTGTGCTGCCTTCGTGTGACAGCAGTTGTAGCTCTTTCTCACAGAGAAAAAAGCTCTGGGGTAATTTACAGCAGCACCCAGGGAAACCAGGCAGTCTCATTCTGTCTTGAACTATAATGTAAGTGTGTAGACAGTTCTCCTTTTATTTATTTACCAGGAAACGTTAAGTGCTATTGACTTAAATTTTCTGTATCAAAATCCCCCCTGCACTCAGTTCTTCCTCTTTTCCAGATGCGAACATTGTCACGACCCAATCAGAGATTTTGGGAGTGTGGAGAAAAAGGGAAAGTGAAGACTTTCCTTGCCTACCCCTGCACAAGAAGGAAGCCTGGAATCTAGATTCTCCTTTTTGGAAAATTAGCTGAGCACTTACTGAAGAAAAGTCTCAGTTGGTACATGCACAAACCTCAAATTATGCTACAAAGTATGTGGTCTTCCCAGAGCTCTGTTTATGGTATCACAAAGTAACTCAAACAGTTGCCTTTCAACTCTCATGAATACTCTGAAACAAATGCAATGATTTGTAAAGTTTTTTTTTCTGCTCTTGATAACAAATGCTAATCACTTACCATTTCCATAATGAGATCAATTTATCTATCACCAAGCCCTAAATCCATATGCTAAAATAAAATTATTACAATCAAAACTCTTTAAAAGGATTTTCTATGAGGAATTTCTTCCAATTGTGTTCAATTGCTACTCTCAAAATTATTTTAGTATGCATTGATGAAGGACTTGAAGAAAGCAAACAGCTGGGATCTAGGAGTACTCTACACTATACATATGCCTTGCAATGGATCTTGGCTTGATGATGCAGGATTTACATGTTCTCAGGTCTCAGTCCTGAGACTGGGTTAGGCTTTTTGGAGCACTTTGTATTACTGCAGTCTTAAAGGGCAGTATTGCTTACTATTCACCACACCAAGCAATCTATTGGACATGGATGCCTGGAAAATATTTACTGAATTCTTCACTTGGTAAACTTTCTTTCCAATAAAGTCACTTTATGATCAACCTATCAGTTCATTAATAACCCAGTTGAGAGAATAGCATAAAATAGTCTTCTGAAGTTATGCAAGAGAACTCCATTGACTCCAAGAAGCTCAAGCTTTGGTAGATCTGGCAGAGTAATTCCTTAATGTCTCTGAATTTTTTCAAATCTCACAAATGAAATACCTGCCCAAGGGCCTATTTCTTTTTTTCGTTGTGCAATTCTTATTCAGTGCAGCTCAATTTATCCACCTGAAAGTGGAAACATTGGTAGTGCAACATGGATGAGACTGAATTTAGGACGAGATTTTCTAATGATTAAGTTCCACATAAACACCAAAATAAGCAGTCAGATTTTCAACAAAGCTTTTTTTAGCTCCAGTTTTGCTGGCTCTCTACATGTCAAACATGGCTGTTGACTGTTTTGAAAAAAACTGAGAGTAGATTCTCAGGAGCTTTAATTGGTGCCAACTCTATGTGACAGTTAATACCTGCACCCCAGGGCCTAACTCTGGAGATTTGAAAAAAGTCACTTATGGCATAAAAGTTACTCAAACACCTACTCTAAGCCCCAACTAAACCCATATTAAAAACTTCTAAATTTATTAAGCACAAATACAAAGCTTACTTGGTTTATTACTCTATTCTTAATGAAACAGAATTTTTCTCTTATTTTGAGCAATAGACAGGTCTTCTTTCATAAACTTTTACACAAAATCAGGTACCACTGATCATTCAGGATTGTCAGGAGACAATAATTCAGATTGTCTCTCTGACGATGGCAGCCTCAAGGTAGAAGGAGCAAGCTTCCATTACTTTAAACTGGTGTATGGAAAGTCAAATCCATTTCCCAGCCTCCTTGTATGACAAAAGTTTCAGCTTGGTCTCCCCACCTGATAGTGTGCTGGTTCCTAAAGTACATTATCCAGTGCTCATAGGAGAGCTGAGTCCCAAAATCCAATTGATGCAGGAAGATTTCACCAAGTCTTTACAATCCAAACCCACTAAAGAATGTTAAATTATTCTCACCTGAGCTGAGCTCAGATGGTCATTCCACATGGCTACTCCAACCCTCATCCTCAAAAAGAGGATGAAGAACTAGTAGAGAGTGAACACACATCCTTAAGCCATCCTCTGTAATGCTCATCACAAAGAACTGTCCTGTGATTCTGTTTTCCAAAGACAACTGCTGCTGGAAGCACCTAGAAATAGCTCAGTTTCCACAGCTTTTAGCTGCTCCTTACCAGCACAAATAAACAGCTCAGATGACCACCAGCACAAAAGCAAGAATTGCTGCTGCAGAATTTAGACCAGTGACAAACCTATGTTTGCAGGAAGAGGAGCCCCTGGACTTCAGAGTGCCCAGTCCTCATCAAGGACAACCAGGACTAGGGCAAGAGACAGCTCAGGGAAAGGCTGGGAAAGGAGAAGGATCTTTCAACAGAGACAGAGAGATAATGGCTGCATAAATACATACATATGTAGCTATATCTATATCTCTATATCAGAAGCATTATGCAAATGAATGCAGATTTCAATTTGCATAAGACCTCTAGCTTTTTGGCCCACTGCCTTCATATAATCAAACTCGTGTTCTGTACCTTAGTAAGATGAGATCCTCTGGAGAGTGGTAGTGTGGAACAGTATCAAAGGGTAGGAAATATTACAGTTGATAAAGATGAATGTTTTATGTATTAAATAAACAAATGTTTTCAGTTTCTCATTTAATTTATCTGATGAATTTTTCAAATTAACTTCACTGGTGTTTCACCCTGATCTGGCACAGAGCTTCCTGCAGTGTTTGGCCTAAAGAAGCTCTTTCAGCAAAGTGTCCTGTTTGGATACCATGGAGGGAGAAAGGTCTGCTAAGGGTACCTGAAACCAAAACCACAAGCAGGAAGACACAGAAGTGGAAACACTACACAGAGTCAGTGCCAGGAACAGTATGTCCACTGTTTTCTTCCTCTCCTGATCTTCTCTTCCTTCCTTCTGACATTTTTATGTCAGCATTTTGATGAACACTTAAGACCCTCAGAAATCTGAGTCTTCAAAATCACCAAAGCATTTGGGAACCATAGTAAAATGTACTTGCTGTTGCACCAAGACTTCCAAAAACAAGATTTTGACTCATGATCTAAGGAGCTGATCCTGCTATTTTTTTTCCTCTAAGCTACTCTTAGAAACTTTTGGAAGATATCTCTAAGATGCCTATTTAACCAGTGCAAAACATCTTGACAGAGAGATGAAGAACTGATAGCAATACTGCAGACTTGACACAAATGTTAGCAACAAAACACCACTTGGGATATTTTGCATTTGTAAGGGAAAAGATTAGCAACCACAGGTTTGGAAAATGTAAGTGCCTGGTTCTGGAATTTAAAATCATTATATTCTGAATATTTCTAGTCCGAAAGCTGGCTGAAAGTCTAAATAAAATTTTAAAAAATCACAGTGTTGGATTTACTACAGTCATAATTATACCAAAATCACACCTAGCCTAGCATCTCTGACACTGTCCTTGTAGCTTGTACTCAGGAGAAGACTGTAAAGATGGGACAATACCATTGCAGACATGTTCTCCCAGGTTTCAGCATCACACACCTATCAATTCTCCTAAATCACTTCCTAGACTATTGTCCTGCTGGGTCTTTGCTGTCTAATTTCTCTAATCTCCAATGAGCCCAACATGATGGGCTCATGTTGGGCTCATTGGAGATTAGAGAAATCGCTTTTGTTTATTTCTAAAATGCTGCTTCATAGTCTGGATGAATGCCCCCAGATTCCATTATTGTGAGAAAGAGTAAATATTCATTCACTACTTGCTTTTTCTGCATTTTTCTTCATCTTACAAATCCTCCCTA